GTATTTTATTATTTAAATTCATTTATAATTTATAAATTAACTACGCAGCGCGATGAACGTATCTGTGATGGTGTGAAAGATATATATTTGTTGTTTTTTGTGTAAAGTCATATATGTATAATCCTTATTTGTAGGTTCTTTCGAACCAACGAAATAAACTATCAATTGTGAAACCAAACCCAAACGAGAAAGGAGTGATGTGTGAGATATAAAGGTAAGATGTTGGGTGAATGCTAGGTGAGATTTGGTGTCAGTTAGAGAACAATAGGATTAAATTACAGGTAAACTATAACCTGTACTATAAAGTGTCTTACCATATGGTATGAACGGTATACATGGGAATCATTTTTGGTGATAAATGTTATTTATTTATGAGGTTATTTCCATTTCATTTATTAAAGTCTTCATCATAATAATAGGTAATTTCATATAAACTGTCATAACGTTCACTTTACATATTATAATTAAGTCTCTTTGAAGTATTCTTCTTGACCAAAATATTCCTTGAATTACGTAAGTGGTTCCTCTGGTCAAGGCAGTAACATCATTACAGTGTATACCATTTTTGAATAAATTGGTCATGTAACCTAGTTTTCAATTTGTGTTTCAAAAATAATTTATTTATAGTACATGTCTATTGATCATGATATATATCCATATAATTTCAGCCCCGAGTGACAAAGTATTTTCTAAAGATAATGGAACCATTTAAAATGACTACTGTGAACCATCTAGTACACATTGTTCCATATAATGGTAAACATATATTCAATATTTTTAGAATAGTATGCGTATACGTCAATTTGGATACTTACATATTTAATTATTTCCAAAATAAATGTTTTGTTGGAATTCATATCTGTATTCCTGTTACTACAGTACATATTGTTACCCATCGTGAATGAGACAATACATATATTTAGTACATAGTATTTTTTTCTTATTCACAGTACATGTAGTTACCTACATGAGCTTTTCATTTTTTTCAAAATGAATATGCAGAAAATGACTTACGATTGACTATCATTTACTAATAAAATAGCGATAGATTTATATATCATATGTAGCCGTTATACTGTTATAACTATTAAGGATCTTTAATGGTGAGCATGTGTTTAAGACAAAGTTTTATCAACTTTAAACCACCAATACATGTATACATGAACCATGAACTATGGATCCAAGTCGTTGCATATGCTAATAATTTAATAGGTCATCACGCGCTATTATGCTATTTTTCATAGAAAGGATACTGCGCAAATCACTTTAAGTACATGTTTAGGTAACATCTAATATTTTATTGATTTATTGATTTAGTAAGCAGACGGGAGGGAAGAAAATAATAATATGTGTAAATTGATGAAAAGACCAGACAAGATGATAAAGAAAATTACCTTGTGAACTGTAGTTATAATGTAACTCCATGTACAGTGCACATCGATGTGAACTCCAGTGCACAAGCTAGTGAACTGAAGTTCATTTTTTGCGTTCACTCAAGTGCATTAGGCTACCAAATTAAGTTTGCTTCCAACTGTACCAACCACCAATAATAAACACTTTTCTTAAAAATATTATACATTTGTAAAGGTAATGCTTCTGCAACGACTTATTGCTCATTAACATTTACAAGTAGCGTACCTAAGCAGTACATAATTTATGCTATTAAAAAAAAAAAATCAGTATCCACAAAGTTTTTTGTGGATGAATAAAAATAGTTTGGTATTGTTGGAAAGAGCTAATATTTTGGTCTCTGTTTCCTTTAAAACACATGCCATTTTGAGGTTTCAATTTATCTCGTCATCATACGGATACGTCATCATACGGGTACGTCATCATACCGGTACATCATCATACGGTTACGTCATCATACGGGTACATCATCACAAGGGTAGAAAAAGGGTTACCTGTAGCATTTCTGTCACTTCATCTGTCCTTCCTTGAAACAATGTGGCACTGTCAGTAAGTGGCGAATATGTAAGTAAATTAAATTGCAAGTAGTAGCGTATGTACACCAGCAAATCGAAATTTTGGATACACATTAAAACAGACCGAATCCTTACCTGTTTGTTGACGAGTTGATCTCCACATACGGATCAGATAGTCTTAGCGATGACTTGGATGTATCAGAAAGACACTTTCACAGTCGATGCAACCAGAACAAGAAAATCGAAGATGTACTAGGAGCTGAACAGGTGTAGGGGCGGAGCGCACGTTGGGTGTTGTGCGAGGCTAAGGAAACACATTTAGATGGTTCGATGGTCGATCCGGAGTGGGATTTAAATAATTGGGCTCGAAGGCAGAGTCCGTCTCTATTACGAGCACACGTTGTATATTATGCATGCTATGTAGAGGAGGCTAAGGAAACACTTACAGATTTGAATGGTTCGCTGGTTGATTCGGAGTGAGATTTAAAATAATTGAACTCAAAGGTAGAGTTTGACTCTAGTACATCATGCCGGTCGCGTTATTGTCAATTAGTTCAGTCAATTAACGATGTAACATCAAACTATTCGCGAAACAATTAAGTTTTAGTTTCTCTAAACCCTTACCTTAGGGTTAGTGACCCTTACCCTAATCCTAAGTTGTAAGCTAAGAACAGAGAAAGCGTCTTAAGGAGAAAAGTGTGTAGTGTATTCAAGCTAAGGAGGGTATATACATGTACGAGCGACATCCTGCTTATTAAAGATGGACATCGGCGGTATATCTAAATGTTAACTAGAAGGACTTTTTTTAAAGAAACGGAGTTTATGTACGCGGAAGGAGAACAAATTTTGTATGAATTTTTTAAAAGAAAATATATCGATTTTTCGACAACTAGAGCTTTTTAAACTTCTCGTATACAAGGTTATCATCCTTGGGATGGCAATACCATGTTAATCTAAACTGCTAAAGCGCCTAATAATTACTCTCTACACATAAGGATAGGTTCAAACAAACAAACTTTACCAAATTATTGTCTCCCTGTGAAAGAAAGGTGTCATTACACACATTCCAGAGTTATCTCCCTTCAAACAATAAATGTAGCCATTTAAGTTTTAATAAAGAATTCCGCAAAATGTGGACATGTTATCTTTTCGCTGCATGTAGTTATTCATTTTTAGCAACGTCATAGGTACCTACCTTTTTCGGACGTCATTAGTACACAGCTTATCGACGTCATAAGTACACAGCTATTTTTGACGTCATAGGTACAGTTATTTGAGACGTCACAGGCACATATACATGTATGAAGCTATTTAAGGATCTCATTACCTAGTTTTCTCTGACGCCCGAGCTTCCTTGTGGCATACCCTTTACAAAATTCCTCCCCTTGTTGTTTACGTAAGGCAAGTAGCCTCAACCAGCAAAATTGCACTAACTTAAGAACTAGTTATTAAATGAAAGATCGCTTGTGCCAATTAACTTAGATGCATGTTGCACTGTGGTGCGTCAGTCTGGCGACCTGCTGTAAACACTTCCTGCTTTTCTTGCTAATAACGACACTTTGGAGAATGTTGCAAGCGTCATAATATCTTCATGCCTTACCTAATTTAATTTTGGATGTCGAAAGATTCAGGATGAGCGTGAGCCATGCAGCATTTTATGAAAAATATATAAACAAGTCAGACATGGTAAGGCATATAAAACAAAGTCGGTGTAATATGGTACAACTTTTATTAGATAAAATTTCGGAGAGAAATTGTAGTTGTCTTTCTTCTATAGGTCGAAATATTAAAGGCTTAATAAACTCTATCAAACTTAAACAGAAAACACGTATAAATATATTTCTGAATTAAAGAGATCTTTTCCCATTTTTTTAAACGTTTCTGAGCCATGTTGTTTAGATTAGCAGTAAAATTTGCAGGAAAGAGGATTTTTTAAGAGATGAAATGTTATCATAATAACAGTTATTTATATCTATGTATATATATCTTATTTTGTTATTTTGAATCCATGAAAATGAATGAAATATATATTATTATTAAGATCAAAATGTTTCACATAATTAAATTTTACAGTAATTTGAAGTTTATCCATTACTTAAGTGTAATCAATATATTTTAAAATGCCCCACTAATGAAATTCATGTGTACAAATATCCAGGGCAAACCTTACAATATTAATCAGATCTGTATTTCGATTAACCAAATTTTAGATAGCTTCAACTTATATGTAACAGATATAAGCATTAATCGGACAACAAGTCTTTAAGAAGGGATTTTTTGTCTGTAACGAATCTATTCACCTAATCATTTCCTCATTTCTCAGAATACCAAACATTTTTGTTCCGTTAAACTAAAGTACTTATCGGTATTTAACAGTAACAAAAAAATATTAAATTTCATTATTGCATTTACTTTATTTTTAGATTTTGAAATGAATTAGGCGTCTTGTACCAAAAGTAAAATTTAATCACTTTAAGAATTACACATTACAACCATGTAAGTGAGATAATCATCTGTATCTTGGTAGACGAATTACGTTTTAAAATCGATATTATAGGGTTTGCTACATCAGGTATTTAAATTAGACAGATACATTTTGAATGATCACACATATCTGAATAGACAGACGAGATCAAAGACAGTTTACGTGAAAAGTTTAATTATTCTATTGTAACACAAAAGCAATCATACAAAGATCTGACTGACAAGGGAAACACAAAATTGAACATAAAATAAAAAAACTTGCCGAATTGTCTCTTTTATACAAAATTAGGATATTGATAACTACTACACAGCTTTGGGAAATAAACGTTATAATTTGCACCAGTTCTACATAAAATACTTGTTTGAAATGAGCTCGTAACTGATATGTTAACAAAATATATATGTGTGATTAAGAAAGAATATTTCCAGATTTTTTTAAAGTTTTTAAAGTAATGAAATAAACGCAAAATATAACGAACATACTTATTTAATTATATACTTAACCAATCAGAGGTTCTCGCTACGAAATATCAACAGATGACAAGCATTGTCATGACCAATGCCCCCCCCCCCCCCCCCCCCCCNAACTGATAATAATAGTCGAGTTCACTTCAAGCCAAATATTTTATAGAGAACTGTTGTTCATCTATTGTCTCATACTAAACCCAGAAACGTTACTATTCTCTTTTTCTCAAATGCTTCACTTATTTCCAGTACTGGAACACTATCCGCATCCTATCCAGGACAGAAAAGCCACCTTGTATTGACGGTTCAGTATTTGTATATATCTGTATCGGGAACGATAATGTATAGACAAGATATTAATATTATATATGTCTGTGGATGGGACAAATAATCAAAGCATACTTTGATTTTACTTTTCACTGCATGCACCTTGTTGCCATCATTATGAAATAACAACTTCGGTGCTTTCTTTTCTATGGTTAATTTTCTTGAAAGTGATAATGGGTATAAACGCCATTGGACATCAGTAAAGGTTGACCTCCGAGTGTAAAGTGCGTTTGTTTTCCACAAAGACGCCGTTCTTCCTACTACCGATTATAATACCATCCATTTTAGCAACATCTTACTATCCACACCGTACTGACTAAACCCCTGTATGCCTAAAGAACATCAATTTATCTATTTCCTGTGATACACAATCAACAATCAATGACGTCGTATATTCATTGTTGCTTTCACCAGAGTGTTTGGGATAATGGAGATTGTACTGTAAATATTCCTACGTGAACGATATTTAAATAAGCGCGCTTGTCTTCTCAACCACCAACCAATATATGCTGATTTACGCCTGGAACTGTAATTTGATATAGAATTAACATTCCAACCGCCCCTTAGTACATTAGTGAGTAAGTTTTTTTTATAAACGGTTAACGTCGACATAAGCTAGTTCAGTTGCGTATGCTCAATATTATTGAGCGCAAGTTCATTAGTATACTTTACACTGCGACACCGCAAGTTATTCTTGTTTTCGTCTTATGACGTCAATGATTGTCATCAATATTTGTCTAAAATATTAAATGTCCAAATAACTTATTATGTTCATAAATATATTTTGTGTATTTGCTAAAGGCAGCTATCTCCGTTATAGACTCGATACGGCATCATTATCACAAGAGTCTCCTTCAGCGCCGCGGCACCTATAGTCCGAGTATGTAGTCCCGGACACAAGGATCTCTGCACTCTTTGATTGGTCGTCCATTGTACTGTTGTCCACTCTTGATAAGCCAGAGAAATTGCGCACCGTCCCGGATGCAACTTTTGTTGGGGCCACATATCTCTATCACCTCCGACCCAAACCCTTGGTCACATTGGCTTTTTGTCACACCATGCCCCTTTCCCTGTAATGCAATTGTCGGAACTTAAATCTTCACATTCAACCAGAACTAAACATAGCATACAGGTATCACAAATATTTAGGACTAATTTCTTAGTCGGCATATCTCAACAATGAGTGCTGTTTAAAGGTTGGCGGTTTTGTAATTTCCCGGAATTACTTTTTAAAACGGAACAAGTTGCACTGAATGTAATGCTAAAGTGTTAACTTAACTGTTTAAATGGAAAATAATTCCATGTATATTAAACCAGAGTTTTTTGTTGTTGTTGTGTTATAAATATAATCAAATATTTTACATTGCATGACTCAAATTAACTTTAAACATTGTATTAAGAATGTATGGGCAACACATTTTTTTTGAGAGTTGATCCTCTACGCTAAAGAAAGTATCCATGAAAGTTTAATGACACAGTAGTAAATCCTGATTTAAAGCCAAAGTGTTCCACAGCAAAGGTTATTGATAATAATTATGAAATCTTCCACTTCTGCGCTGTTGAATGGGAATTCTCTTATATAGAATAATTACCTAGAATAAAATGAAAGAGGTTTATTCATTAGAGCTACTTCCCTTGGCAAATGTTTCAATTTGGTACCAAGACTTTTCAATTTGGTACAGTAAGTTTACAAATCCTGGGTAGCTGCGTCTATACAGTGCAGAATCAGCCATATGCTAGCTTGGGCCATGGAATTTCTCATTATTTTATTTCCTTTTTTTTTTTTTTTTTTAAATAAATTTTAGCCTGTAAACACATTACAAAATATGTTTTATATGTAATAAATATATAGAAAATAATTTAATAAATATTTTATAAAAGAAGTCAATAGTAATAAAATATCTAACGTTATTTCACTAAGTAATGGTGCTCTTCGTAGTATGTGACGCCATCTCAGAATACTATTCTGGAAATGTTGCATTGTCAACCCTTAAAGATCGTCAGAGCAAAGAATGAAATGTATCACAAAGACAGGAAGCATTTCAGCTTCATTTTTTTCAGATGTTGTGTATCATCGTCCTTATTACCTTTCACAAAATCTGTCTAAAAGGCACATCAGTATCTGTTTTATCAAACTTTTCAAAGTTTTACCTATCTGTAACCTATCTGATGCAGTGTGTATACGCTCCCTATCGATAGGCAAAACGTCTCGGGTCGAGTGACATGAACAATATACTATTTCGTCACATCATTGTACAGGTAAAAATACAAAACGCTCATTCAGTCATAGCTTGACAAAGGGACCAGTTGGTCTTGAAACGTTGCGACATGTTTGATACGTAAATGTTTTGTGTAGAAAGTAAAACTTTGATATCACATGTTTCCAAACTGATGAATCTTATTGAAGACAGTATCTGTTTTATTTTTAACCGTTTCAGAAACAAAACTTGCTGTTGCTAGTAATCGAAGAATAACATGTCATTTGGACAGCAAAACGTACATAAATGTATCACCCTAAGATTAACACACTGTTTGTAAACAGTACTCTGGACATGAAAACTTACACAACTGTAGCAAAGCTCGTGTCGGTTACAGAGTTCCCTAGCCTCGTCATCGATGGGCAACCCCATCTTGTCTGCGATCTCACAGTCAGTGTTCAGCAGGTCAACAGCAATGCAAGTGTTTGGAACATCAAGTTGCATTTCTAATAAAAGGAATAAAAATGACGTTTGTCTAGACATTTTATAACGATTGAATAATGAAAAATATGCAATTCTCACATATGCAGGTAACGGTAGTTATCTTGTCAGCCATCTTAAATTTGTTAAAATTTCTTAGCAATATTGTCATTAAATATGATAAAACATAAGTGTCAATTCAGGATTAACGGTTCATCAACAGGATGTAATATAGTACACAAAACACATAAATAATTGCACTTTATAAACAAAGCATTTCTTTTGAAGTCACGTATTTGAAAAACACATGAGGTTGCCTCCCTTATACCAATAAATACGAAGAGTCCAGACACAGTTGTACTTTACATTTGTAAATTATCATATTAATGTTTCATTCCATTTCGGTCTTTGGCATGTGAACCTCAAAAGAGACATTACAAAAACCTACAGTACAATTCAATGCTAATTTGTTTTTAAATGAAGTGATAAAATGAACACGATACTGAGTTGCAGTAGCAAACGCAGGAGGTTGGTAATCGAAAAGTTTGCCAATGTAGTGAAAGCGGGCTAAAGAAAATTTAGACAAACATTAGGCGAAGGAGAAAAAAATCTTAAATCTGTACGATGAGTAAGATGATGCACCTAGACTAAGGCCAGGAAAGTGAAGGATCAATACTACGGGATATATGTCACACAGGGATGCTTCCTACTACTAAGCACATGCCGCAAAAGCTTGTTTTTATACAAATATACAAAGGTCTCGAATTATATGACGGATATCATATAACCACAAATGATTGACTGGGTACCCTCAGAGAAAAGCACACAAGGGAGGTTTAGTATGTTCAGACAAAGGCTATCTATATTGTTAGCGTTCGTGTGACGATCCATCGACACCAAACGGTATGGTCATATAAAAACGAAATGAAATGAACGAGTGTGTTTAGACAGATAGCTAGATGGAATTTGATGAAGTCAACGTACCTAAAATGCACATAAATTAAAAGAAAGTTTGAAAAGAATGGAGGAAAGGACAAAAAAGCGATGCTAGCTTTCTTCAGTTTTACCGTTAAAGAATGATAAATATCACAAATCCAGCATCATTTCTGCCATTATTGACTCAGACACGTGATATTAATCTTCATATCGTCAGAATTGATATAATAGAATGATATACGCTTACGAATTATATTAAATGTAGGACGTCATTGTTCTGATTGATTAGACCCGTAAATGAAATTAAAACACATGTTAATATGTTATAATTACGTAACCTAATAAAACATTTATTATAATTAAACAGAAGCTGGTAATTGAATCCCATGGGTTTTTTGACACCTTAACATAATTTGCCTCTTAACTTCGTGGAATCGTTTACTTCTGTCTTAGTTCCTAGTTGTTTTGTGATTGATGATGCTCCTTTTAATTATCTCACACTGCAGTTGAATTGAGATGCTATTTTGGTTCAGTAAAATGTATTGGTTATTTAATTTCAGTGAAGTGTATGGGATATTTAAATATATCGAAGCCCTTGTGATGTCGTTGAAATCTAGCAATTTTTACACAAAGAGTACACATTGGGAAATGGGCGAATAGATTTATAAATGTTGTACATTAAATTTTGACAATGTTCCTAATATATAAAACATGCATTGCACATTATTGAAAACAGGCACTTTACATGAAACAGGTATATGATTTTATGTATATCGAAATTGCCGTAAAAACAAATTGTTAATAGGCCAACATGGTGACACATGATTCGGTTTGTTTCGTCTAAAGGTCTTAAATCAATCTACATTCAGGAATACAATTACTCAATGAATTAATTAAGAATGTTAATAGAGAAGCATTTTCATAACAAAACACGTAAAACATTGTAACTCTGTCTGACACCAATTAAAGATGGACGTAACAAACTCACAGGTGACTGCTCATTAAAAATATGGTAATAGATATAGTATGAAAAACCAACATCATACAGTTGTTGCCTCCTTCTAGGACTATCTTTTCCCCCTTCTCTGTAACAGCAGCAAACGATCAGAATACGTGATGTGTAGCCTTGTACATCGTTATATTAACTTAACACAACGACGTCAACGTCATCCGAAACCCAAAGATAAGTTTTGAATATTTATGGTTATCTATCCAGTGGGAAAGTTTTGAGCTACATGATTGCTTGAAAGGACATTTCTGGTGAATTTCTTAGTCCTCGAACGTTGCCAAAACTTTGATTACCTCCGTTATCATTTTGAAGATATTCAGAGTTCATGATAGCCACATCGTACTCATCATTAACTTGAAAGTATACTATAAATAGTTTTATAATGCAGTGTCATTAATTTGTAACACACTGTGTCAGTATTCAAATTTTAAAATAATTTCAATCACATATGTATGTATTACGTTCATATTTCTTCAGTTTGATCCAGTGCTTTCACCCCATATAAGAACTGGAGGAAGCACCATCTCCCGTGCTAAAGATTTTTTTGCTTTTTTTTGTTTTTTGTTTTTTATTTGCGTCGAATTTTTGTCTCATTTTCCCCTGTGTTGAAAAAAAGAAAATGATGTTTTAGCATTTATTGTTGTTTAAAAGCAACTCCTGTCATACTCACCGTCTTCTATTTCATCAGGTGTGTCTTGGTTTTCGACATCTTGTTGAGATTCGAGATATTGTAGAAGCGCCTGTCGGACAGACTCATCGTTATCTGATCCACCATTTCTTCTTTCTATTTCTGGAACATCATCTGTAAATATACATATCCAACATCAACAGCAATTCATTCGACCTGTCATACCAGCAATCTAAGAATATAAGGGCGCACAGGAACAAAACTGGTGAATATGTCGGCATTTTATTAACGAAATGTTTAATTTTGCAATGTTGTTATTTTCAATAGAGTAAGTGAGTAATACTATGCGACTACATCTTACAACATCCTCGATACTTTAGCGGTTACGCTCACTTCAGTATTCAGTTTTCCTTTATTAATGTATCTTACATATTTAGTGTTATTGTACATTGTTTGATGAGATTTACAAATATTTCAACTTCATGTACATTATATAATATCACCAGATACACAACTTTGTTGATGAGAGAGGATGACTAGTTCGATCCTTTCATATACATCAAAAGCAATGAGTGATTTTTGAAGTCGGGCGTCGTTCTGTTGAAGTCTTCAAAGGACAGGTATCAGCCTAGCGATTGGTCAGGTTTTTATACCCGAGACCAATCAAACAGCTGTCTTTGTGCCATCAATTTTGCCATGACATATTCCAGGGGTGAAGAGAGCGAAAGTGCGCGTAACCCCTGGAGTATCGAGGATGATTTTACGAAGGGACTCCATATTCATCATGTATGGCATCTATAACAGTTCGGCGTAATTATGGTCTTAGTGAGCTTGTACCTGGTGATATTATATAATGTACACGTAGTTGAAATATTTGTAAATCTCATCAAACAATGTACAATAGCACTAAATATGTAAGATAAATTGATATAGGAATACTGAATATTAACTGAAAATTAACCTTCGTCATCAGAACATATATTCCGTTTCGTTGGTTTTGCAAAGTCTTTATTTTCATCTTTGATATATTTTTACCATTTCATTTTTCATCTCATCAAATAAACAATTTATTGCTCACCAATTTGATTTGCATTGGGCTCTCCTTGTCGTAGATATTGTTTAACGAATCTTTCTAGAACAGCTTGCGCATCTACAAACGATTGGGTAAAACATGTATTTTAGTGAAGAAAAGGAAGCAAACTGACTAATTTCTTAGATCGTTATCTTAATATTTGTTTTCCTTCTCTAGTGGACTTATCCAAATGTTTTCTCTGACATACGTTTTTGGATACTGATAGAACTTGACATGAGGGTTGACTTGAATAATATAAGACTGATATAACTTTAAACTAATGTTTTCTTTTCGATTAAAATTAATAAAATATCATCATCATATTAATTAAATTCAACAATTTTAAATGGATGAAATGTTCCGAAATTGCCCATAACGCTTCAACTTGGCTGACACAACGTTATCTATAACTTCACTGGTATTTGTTCGATTTGATACAAACAATAAGATACGACCACATAACCAGACAAACAAGATGGCTGCCATCAATTCTGTTTAGCTGAAAAAACCATGACCGCTAAAAACACTTTTTTTTTATCCCAAGTTTCTGACGATGTTTTTATATCGAGTCTGGATTAGTGTTGCAAAATAAAAAGCGTTTTTTCATCCTTTATGAATAGATTTAAAAATAATTAATCTTGTCAACGAAGAGACTTCCTCAAACGTATGCGTATTGCAAGCTACCTAGATCCAGTTTAAGGTCATTGTTACTAGTTTAAGAAAATTATTGTTAAAACTCTTGTCACGACAAATTTTTCATCGGACGTCATAAATAGCTCAAGTATGAGGTATTCGCAAAGGACTTCGTTTTTCAGGGTATCAAGGTCACTGTTAGATTTTGTAAACGATTTCATATGTCTAAGAGGACTTCATACTATAATAAAGTTTGAGGAAACTTTGATTATTGTTTTGGTACTTCAGGATATTGTCAATATGTTCTACTGGTAGACTATCTTTGCCCTTCAAATGAATTTGTAGCTCTCCTGAATAAACGTAAATGCTTACATGTTCATTTAGAAAGAAAAAAATGTGATTTTTTATCATGTAATTAGGTTTCTGGAGTGATACGTAACAAAAGTACTGTTGAAAAGAAGGCAAGGTATATGATTTCTATAAAACTGTTGTTTAAGGTAGGTGACATTTATGCGCTTATACAAAATGATCATGAAGCAATTGAAAAAACACATAAGATGAAATATGTAATAATTAGCAAAGAGCACAAACACATCCTATGAGAGTAGTGATCGGAAGTTAGATTAGAGAGTAGATACAAGCATTTTGTTCTGTAAACGAATACAACATGCGTTCCTTCTGATTTACATTTGTGTGTGTTAATGTAGTATCTAATGTTTTGTCCGCGCTATGGCAGTGCTCTTAGTTGTCATCGTTCGTTATTGTTTGAAAAGTATTGATATTGTCATGCTTGTCTGTGATATCAGCAGACACAATAGCTTTGTCATGGTGCGAAATGTGTGTAACATGACCTCAAAGGATAAGCGCAATCATGAACGTAAAACAAGTAACAGATTTAATCGATATGGGACTACATATCCTGGGGAACAATGTCATCGAAACCTGGTGTTATCCGGTCAATACTTGGGGCTATGAATGTGAAAAGAATGAATGCTTTTCGGTTCTGCCCGTTACACTTGGGGGCGATTTATACCGTCTGTGTCATGTTGTTTTCAGAAAAAGAATGTATTCATGTGGACACACGAGAAACAGTCGATTATTTCGAAAAACGCATTATTAAAAAACAGAGGAGTATAAAACCAAAAGGGGAAAATCGGATATGTATCAGTTCCAATCTAATTGTATTTTCTTTTGTATTGATATCGATGAGTATTTCAGACTCCATCAACACTAAATTATAGAAGGGACTGACCATGTCACATATTTGTATGTTTTTGTCCCAAAAAGAAATAAAATAGAAATAAAAAATAAAAACCCCGAATGGTCAGCTGTCGTTCTTGACTGATACAAATGACAAAATATTTTACACACTAATATATGGAGAACTAGTTTAGATTTTTACTAAAGAACAAGTAGGTTACATTCAAATACATGTTTAGCATGATTGGCCCATGAATAAAACTGGTCGAATTCACAATTTCTACTTAACCTCTACTTCCGGTTCTTGAAGAACACAATAATGAAGTTAAAGGTGAATGAAGACGAACAGATATATAATAGTTTACGGAATCTATTAATTAATGAATTTCCATGCAAATAGGTTCATCGAATTCCAAGTTGATTTACAAAACAGTATGTAATGCTTACCTTATCAAAGTGTGAGGACTCTGATAAACGAATATTTTGGAAGTCACGAGGCAGAAGACAATATTGGATTCATGAATGATTATTAAATATCACCTTACAGAAAACCATTCATGTACGCACCTTTTTCATCAATTTCGTCCTCGTCAGTTGGCAGTGGATGTTCGTACCATCTTCCCATTCCATCTTCATATGTAGGTTTTTCGTCGTCAACGTTGGATTCAATTTCAGTTCGTTTATCAATTACATCGTTGCTATCGTCGTCGATATCTTCCTCTTCATCCTCCTCCTCTTGATCCAGTCCATTTTCCTCTGCCAGTTGCGCCAGTGAAGCTATTTGTAGTGCAATTGATGGATTTGATTTAAGTTCCTGAAGAATTTCCTCGTTTCTGAAAACAAGGAAATAATAATATCTTTAAATGCAATCATTATAAATAAAGCAACGTGTTACATGTATATACACATGATGATTTCAGTGAAATTCATGTAAATAATGTTTTTTCAGATTTAAAATATTGTTCAAACTATGATTTATTTCACATTATAAGCATTTATATACTTAATTTAGAAAAACAAATATATTTACCTGTTTGGTTTTTCTGGTAAAAGTTATATGTAAAAGCAATATTTTCAATGTCCTAAATGTTTTGTATTGTTGGACATATTAGAGTTTGTATTTTCCCTGTGCGGTATGTTATTCATTCCTGGAGCGTTAACAGTTATTTGTTGATTAGATTGGCGGGTTTACCTTTACAGTCAATTTATTCAATATACTTGTATTAACCGACTAATCGATTACTACTTGCGTAATGTCTGACGATTTGATATAAAATTATATGTTTGTTCTCAAATATCTACTGTTTTCAAAGAGTAAATTACAATGCAGTGTAAGTCTAACATTAATTAATATTGAGGCGATTTCTATTGGATATATTTGATACTGTGACATATAACAAATAGACTTCTAGGGAAAGAAAGAGATAACTTTGAAATATATATCGTCTACGCATTCTGTATTACCGATGTATGTGTATTGTCCTTACGGGTACCAACCCTTTAAATTATGAGCACAAGAGCAGTTATGGATACATTATCATATGTTGGTAAATAGATGTCATTAAAATGCACATGCAAGATGGTAAGTCTTTGTACTCAAGTCTAAGATAGGTAAATGGTTGTCACCCAAACGCGCTTACCTAATGGCCTTCTCTGTTTTTGTACTCCTGTCTGAGATAGGTAAATTATTGTCAACCAAACGCACTCACCTGATCGCCTTTTCTATGTCTTTGTACTCAGGTCTGAGATAAGAATCTGTCCCCTCCATTTGTGACATAGTAGCTTCCTTGAGAGCCGAGGCAAGGTTGTCGATTTCCTGATCTTCGATTCCTTCCATCAAATGAAGAAGAGCAATCTCGTTATGCAAATCAGCTTCTTCCGATCTCAATGTCTCTCCATTGTCTCGCTTTGCTACTTTCTTCTTCTTTTCGGCAGGGAACGAGTTAATCTGCGGTACCAGTTCCTCACCAGTTGAACTATTTACCCCCTCCTGGCTATCTTCAGAATCCGACGGTGTATCGTTCGTCGCTTCTGGTGATTCATCTCCCCCAAACAAGTCCTTCAGTTCCTCTTTAGTTACTACTTCCGGTTTAGGCGCGACCTCTGACGGATCTTTGTTACCAGTCTCCTCAATTATAGAAGGTGTCTCAGATTTCATTGTTTCCTCTGTTTCTTGCGTCTCCTCATCTTTCACTTGATTTAATAATTTTTCCATTTGTGATTTCGTAATTTTTCTATTAGCGGAGTGACTATCATCTTTAACTTTGATAGCTTCTTCTAGTACGGAATTATGTTCCTTTCCTGACGTTCCAAACAGGCTTTTTAATTCATCAATCGATGGTGTTCCATTCGGCATTTCCTGCTCTCCGTCCTGTTCAAGCTCCTCGAGGTATTGCTGATAGGCTGGTAGGAGATCCTCAAGACTGTACCTGCCATCTAATGCTCCATACTCCTCGTACGGGTCAAATGAGTCTTGCATAGCATCGAGGTTGTTCCGAAGGTACTCGCTCATATCTACTCGTCGCCGTTGACGCTGCAATACTTTGAGGGCTTTGGTAAGTTCCGAGGGGCTCTGGGAGGACCGCTTTCGTATCGTAAAGCTCATTACGCATGACAGAAACATGACGAGGACGGCAGCTTTAGGGAGAATGAACTTCCGATCCATGGCTCACTTATATCTGTTGATCATAGAAGAAAAAAAATATAATGACATCAACATCTACATGGATAATAAAAGAATAATTATCCGAGATCGACAACTAGGCTTTACTGCCTTCGTAGGCGTCTTCAGGCGGACTGAAGAAATCTTCATCGCTTTGAAAGTACTGAAAGTTACATATTTATATCTGGTTTATCAAATCTTGTCAAACTGATAATCCAATGGCGTCACTGTCATAACACACTGTTGTTATTTTCAAGCTATATATGATGTCAGAATTCGAGACCTTGTCAGACATTGGAGAATCTTCTATATGGTTTATAATTTCCCGTTTTCCGCATTATGAGTGATTATATATATAAGAACTCAGGATGAACTTCCGAACCATGGATAACGGGTTACTTTAAATTCAAAGGGAAACAAAAGATATTATTAAAATGATCATCTTAATATTTATTGATTGCATTAATTTTATCTACAAAATTCAGCAGTACAGTATTTTGAAAATCTTTGCAAATTGGAGTTAGAAATGAAAAATAAACAGAGATGAAAATGATATTCCCATCACTAAGAGCAGTAGTCGTTATTTAAGCTTACCTTTTACTATAATAAATATTTAAATTAAATTATATACATTTGAAGTTCAGCAAGGAAACAACTAGAGAAAAGCTGTTTGATTTGAAAATACATTCATCGTCATTAGAAGCTAATTCAGTAAGAACATTTGTTCTAAATTGTTCGTGTCGTTCAGCGCATCTGTCGGCAGCGATATTATTTCAAGCAGACAACATTTTATGTTAATACTGTTGTTAGTTTCTTGCAATATCATATGTCATAATTCGAAACCGTTTTAGATATCGGAGAAGCTTCTATATAGTGTTTGTTGGTTTTTAATATCCCGTTGTGCCGCACTATGGGTTTATCTTTGTGACGAAATATACTATTTAGGTGTACATGACGCATTCTAATATCTACTGGAGCTATTTATAGTATGTCTACATAATACAGTAGCTTTTGACGTCAATGAGGTGTGGATATTATAAACAAAATCGACCCAGTTAGTATATAGACATATACTTCTCTCTAAATGGGATGGAATTTACTTTTTTCCGTCTTATCCACCCAACTGTGTCAAACCCGATTACCCAATGACGCCATTGTCAGGTTATATTGTACGTATGTATAAAAGAGGGATATTTGACTGTCTAGAACTCTAACTTCAAATGAAAAGTTCAGAATGTAGTATTTCAACAATCTTACAAAACTGTTTAAGTAACGAAATAGCTGAATAGTGGCATTTTAATGTACAATTCAAGCAGGATTAGTGGTGTTTCCGATTGTTTTGAATCTTCTGGCATTGGCTCCACGCCTTTCTGTGACGTCATAGAGAGGTGCGCCTTTAGTTAGGAGCGGCTGGTAGTTTATCAGATCATTACACCAACACACTTTATTCAGCCCTGGAACAGCATCTGATTGATTTCGGCTTTTTCAGCTATATGATTCCTGATGACGTTGCTCGCTAATAGTGTTTTACCATATGTTCGCTTAACAGAATCAAACAAATAAAACCATTTTTTCCACTTTCGTTCTAACCGACATTCAAACCTTTCACTCTTTTCAATTTTGTGTTTAACATCTATTATCTAAGATCCAAACACAGCAGAGAATGTCTTCAGACAACACAGCAGAAGTTGGTATTCGATTGGTTAAGAAGACTAAGCACAGTTTCTGGGTGACATTGGTCTGTCGGCGACGCAAGGATTGCAATCTATGTAATCCAACAGTTATACGTGGTCATCTGATTGTATGTGATATCTGTTAGCTGGAATTATCAATATAATACATACAATTTTCCTTAACAACAGAGTCTTTTATGATTTAGTCGTGATAATCGTATTACTGAATAATGTAGATTGGAACATAATGGCGACGAGACTACGCCAGCTGCAACACTTCTGCTTAGTGTAGCTGAGTGGGCGGGAAATTGTACCAATGATGTCAATTTTGTTTGTATCATGTGTTTGTTTATGTAAAATAAAACATATTAATGACGTCGATATTGTTTACGTTAATTAATTGCTTTTCTCTTCCGGATATAATAGGGATAAACTCGTTCTGTTTGTTGGATCAATTATTGTAATACCACCAGAAAACGTTATAAATCTTCGTGTCAATATACACAGGCATCATCAATTGTAAGCCGAGAATTTTCAAAAATTAAAACACGATATATACCCAAGCGTCAAGGAAAACATATAGGATAGCATAAACTCGCAAGGTCAAATGGAAAGTTATACCACATTGTCAATACACAAAGGCAAAATATAGCATGGCGTCTACTAAGGACAAGATATACCTCAGCGTCAACAACGGGAAAATATACTACAACGACTTCATACATGGAAAATTATACCCGAGCATCAACAGATAATGACAAATTATACCACAGCATCACCTGTCAAAGACAAAATATGCCGTAGCATCAATAAAAGACAAAATATACAACAGCGTGAACGAACAATGACAAAATATACCACAACATCAGTAGAAGGGTGGGGACAACATAAACAACATCATCACTTGGCATATACAAAAATTACTGCAGCATCAAAATATACCGCAGCATCAATAAAAGACAAAGTATACAACAGCGTAAACGAACCATGAAAATAATATACCGCAGCATCAATAAAAGACAAAGTATTCAACAGCGAAAACGAACCATTAGCAAATATATACGGCAGCTTCAGTAAAAGACAAAATATACAACAGCGTGAACGAACAATGACAAAATATACCACAACAGCAGTAAAAGGGTAGGTACAACATAAACAACATCATCACTTGGCATATACAAAAATTACTGCGGCATCAAAATATACCGCAGCATCAAAAAAGACAAAGTATTCAACAGCGAAAACGAACCATTAGCAAATATATACGGCAGCATCAGTAAAAGACAAAATATACAACAGCGTAAACGAACCATGAAAAAATTATACCGCAGGATCAGTAAAAGACAAAAAGTACAACAGCGTAAACGAACCATGAAAAAAATATACCGCAGCATCAATAAAAGACAAAATATACAACAGCGTGAACGAAAAATGACAAAAAATACCACAACATCAGTAGAAGGGTAGGTACAACATAAACAACATCATCACTTGGCATATACAAAAATTACTGCGGCATCAAAATATACCGCAGCATCAATAAAAGACAAAATATACAACAGCGAAAACGAACAATGAAAAAATATACCGCAGGATCAGTAAAAGACAAAAAGTACAACAGCGTAAACGAACCATGAAAAAAATATACCGCAGGATTAGTAAAAGACAAAGTGTACAACAGCGAAAACGAACCATGAAAAAAATATACCGCAGGATTAGTAAAAGACAAAGTGTACAACAGCGAAAACGAACCATGAAAAAATATACCGCAGGATCAGTAAAAGACAAAGGGTGCAACAGCGAAAACGAACCATGAAAAAAATATACCGCAGGATCAGTAAAAGACAAAAAGTACAACAGCGTAAACGAACCATGAAAATAATATACCGCAGCATCAATAAAAGACAAAATATACAACAGCGTAAAAGAACCATGAAAAAAATATACCGCAGGATCAGTAAAAGACAAAATATACAACAGCGTAAAAGAACCATGAAAAACATAAACTGCAGCATCAATAAAAGACAAAATATACAACAGCGTAAACGAACCATGAAAAAATTATACCGCAGGATCAGTAAAAAAAAAAATGTACAACAGCGTAAACGAACCATTAAAAAATTATACCGCAGGATCAGTAAAAAAAAAAATGTACAACAGCGTAAACGAACCATTAAAAAATTATACCGCAGGATCAGTAAAAGACAAAGTGTACAACAGCGAAAACGAACAATGAAAAAAATATACCGCAGGATCAGGAAAAGACAAAATATACAACAGCGAAAACGAACCATGAAAAAAATATACCGCAGGATCAGTAAAAGACAAAATATACAACAGCGTAAACGAACCATGAAAATAATATACCGCAGCATCAATAAAAGAAAAAAATATACTACAGCGTAAACACAGAGGGACAACATATACAATTTACAAACTTGTAATTCCACTTTCCACCAATATGTATCTGCTGATACTTCAGTACCACAAAATATATGTTTTTTGAAGAGGAATGGTTTTAAATTGTCGAATGCTTTGTCCGATTCCTTCTGATTTATGAAATAGAATATTTTTTAATCAAAATTTGTTTTACTTTAACAAGCACACACATAAGGTGTTTTGTTTAATAAGATATATTTATATTTGTTGCCTCGCTGCGTGTACCCATTTGTTCTATCTTAACCTAATAGGGAATATATTGACATTTACCGTTACGACCAGTTTGATTGACTAGGTGTTACATGGCTAACGTGTTATATATTTCTATTAAAGTAAGTACCGAACAATATTTTGTCATTGTGTGTAATTGACATTCATTTTAATTTCTTTTCTAGTTTCAGCATGCATAATACCATATATCATCCTAGTTTCAGATACGTTAGATAACGGTGGAGAACTCATATGTCAAAGACAATGAAAACGGGGGCTGTGGCAGCTTTGTTAAGCTACAAAACATTTATTTCAAAATGAAACACTTTAATAATGTTTCATGAGTAAAATATATTACAGAATTCATTTTTTTATGTTTTTATTTAAAAGTTCACATGAATCCAATTCAACAATTTGCACGTATGCAAAGTTTTGTTTTTGTTTTTTGGATAACTGGTGTAGATTCTACGTGACAGTTATTGATAGAAGTAATGATTGAAAGATTGACAGTAGAAAAACTATGTAATCAGATCATTAGCTGTTTCCAATGGAATAGTATGTACATTTAAAATGGAAGCCATTTATTTTTATTTTACCGCTGATATGCAACATAATTGTAACGATCTACATGTACCACGTCCACTCTTAAAGAAACAAATTACGATCATTTTGATTATTTACAATCCCAATGCTA